TTAGATACGAAAGCACCCGCACACGTACTGCACACATACAGTTTATATTTCCTATGAAATGAGGCATAAAAACAATAGCAGAATGTCAAATTTGTAACGGAAGTTTCATTATTTGCATAAAATTCTATCAATTTAATTATCAACACACATTTACTACTACTAATAATAAATAATAATAATAGATATTTGTGTATTCTGAAACCGTGTCTTCTTTTATCTGTTTTTATCTTCACGATTAGGTGCATAGATAGACACAGGGCACGTCTACATCATCTTTATTCGGAATATCCTATAGACCAGTGTTTCTCAACGGGGGCGATATCGCCCCCATGTGGGCGTTTTTCCATGTCGAGGGGGCGATTTGTAACAATTTATATTTTGGGGGGCGAAAAACAATTTTCTGGGCGATAGTGTAAAACATTATATTAAGAATAATTAGATATTTTATTTGTTATATCGTTCAATAATTAAACAAATAACATTATACTAGTCACTAGTCTGTTCAATGCAGTACGAATTTGGCGTTAGCCTTGGCCCTCGGCATCGGAATTTTGAAGTGAAGGGGGCGATACTACGTAACGGTTTCATTGAAGGGGCGATACTACGTTGAAGGGGGCGACGATTCGTTAGAGGTTGAGAAACACTGCTATAGACCGATACGCGTTTCGGGCATAAGCGCCTCATCTGTCGGTATGACTTCTGGGATTTCTTGTAGGTAGTGTTGACACGTATACATTCAGTTTAAAATTACTTATTTACAATTAAAAATTTTTAGTTTTAATCAGGGCTGTGGAGTCGCGTAACAATCTACCGACTCCGATCAGGTGTGAGTGATGAGGGCAAAATTATGTTATACAATGAAACAATTTTGCGTATAAAAATTATATTTATTATGGATTCCAACGTCACAATACAACACGATGGTGTGAGATTACTACTATAACAATACTTAGATTAAAACGTACGGTACCGTTTCCGACCGCGATAACAAATAGGGCCCGACCTTAAAACTAATCTTATATACTAACTTAATACTAGTTAAAGAGAAGAATAAAAGTAGAAGGATGAAGGAAGAATACATACGATAGGGAAGGAATACCCGGGATTTTGGTTGATGTGTTCGAACTGATTGTGCTGTCGGGTGGGATGTCACACGATGACTTTTTCTAATTCGACTCGTCGTCGTCTTCCTCTATAATTTATATTTTCTTTTCTCAATTCCTTTTTCGTTGTCGCCGGACGAGAACCTTTTTCTTAACTTCGTTGCAGTATCTCCATTCGTTGCTTAAGAAGATTGATGCTATTAAATTTTGGTGAGTGAAGATCAAGAGGATGGGGAGATAAAGGGGGTTGTGTGTATCTCCAGTAGGGTCGGACTTAACCACTTTACCATTCTCAATATATTTCTTCCACACTTTGGAAATGGGGGATGGGTGTAAAATAACAGAAAGTCTGATCAGCATTACATTAAAAAAAATTCTTTCTGTTCTGTGATTATTAAGACGGTTTCTTTCCTTATCCATTGTGGGCTTCGGCCAAACCGCTTATACAAACAGACTTCTCACGAGAAGCGTGATCTATTTCTTGAAATTTTAAAATGACTGTCCTTGATTCTGACTTGAGCCTTCCGGGAGGTTTTTTTTAAGAGAAACTGGCCCCAATTTAGGCGTTACAGACGTGGAGAAAACCCGGGAAACTCCACATGGCCAGCCCGTCCGAGCGAAGCGTGAACTCACGACCGAACTCCCAGTGTTGAGGGAATAAAGACTGCTTGGCCACTGATGGGCCTAAGGCTTATTAAAGTCCAATGGGGCCCATTTTTTTGTTAGATTAAGAATCTTTAAATTGGGGTTTAAAGTTAATTTTTAATAACATCAAAGTGTTGAATGACAAACTTTATATCTTATATTAAAATATATATATATATATACCATCACGCCATTTACCCATAGCTGGGTGCTGGGTGTGGCATTCTGCCAATTTTTAATTAAAATATAATTTTTCTACATATTTTACTTGCCTAGTCTTATAACGTCGTCACACGTGAGCGATCTAGTAATAGCATGACGGCAATATGTCAGAAATGCAGTTACATCTGCAGAGTCCGGATTGGACTCTTGAGCCATGAAAGGAAATGCCTCAGAACTCGACCCTGAGATGCCCCTTAAACAAAGTAATTTTACCCTTTCTGTAGCTTTTTTTCTCTTTCCTTTTTTCTCTTTGTAAATAGTTGCATTGCCATTGCCTTATAAGGCAGGCTGGTCATTATTACTAGTCTCCTTATAGTATTCGAATTCGGTCCGTTCGGATATGTCGGGCCCCGTCCCTCACCACCCGGCAGCCCCATTGTGGGCCTGGCCGAACCCATAATGAGCTTGCAAAAAGAGGCCTTCTTAGTGCCCACAGGGCGGAAAGAGTTTAAAAAAACCCAGCCGTTCCATTGTATACCTGGACGAACCCACGATTGGCTTGACAAAAAGGAACTCTTAGTTCTCACAGGGCGGAAAAGGTTTAAAAAAACCATTGTAGTTCTGCCAGGCACATAATAAGACGGTCGGATGAGGGATGGGATCCGACATATCCAAGACAGACCATCCCAACGTATAAATACGGCAGTAGTAGAGAGTAGAGAGTGTACTGAAATAATTTACTAAAATGAATAAAAAATTGGCATAGTTTGTTTTCTCTTGCTTTTTGCAAATAAATACTATAATTGGTCATGGACTACTGAAACAGGACACAGTAGATGTAGAAATAATAAAGCGATAAAAAAAAAAAACAAAGAGCATATCAATGTGGCTGTACGCCATAATTTTAAGGTTATAATAAAATATTCTAATTTGTAGCTTCTGTCCTCGATTCTTGTCTTTTCCTTTTTCTATAATCTTCTCTTGTCATTATTTATACTTCAGTAGTTTGAAGATTGATGTTCTGTGTAGAGAGAAAATGCCTAAGGGCCTAAAGAGGAGCGGTAACGGTTAGTGAAGGACGGGATCCGACATATCCGAACGCCTCTGAAAAATTCGTGAATTTTTTTCCGATCCGTCCGGATTCGATTCCGGTCTACCCGAATGATAGAGTGTCATCCTAACCGCTCGGCCAATCGACATTTCTCCTTACCTAATTTTTCACAATATAATATTTTAAACATAAACTATTACATTCCGATAAATTTTATTACGAAATAAAATTGAATTTATAAAATTTCATCGAAGACCGAAAATAATTTTCGAAAATTAAAAAAAACCAAAATAAGTCTAATCTCGGACGCATGATTCAACGAGGAATGTTTTGGGTGAAGGTTAATTTGAGGTCGAGATTAAGGAAGTTTCTGGTTTGGGAAGAAAAAATTTGTTTTGGTTTCTATATTTTAATGATTTTTATAAACATTATAATTTTTCAATATAACCAAGATACGGATTGAGATAAAGCATACAGAAAACACGTCAAAAATGTCGAATTCGGGCATATGTCTGCTTGATATGCCTGAAGAACTATTGGAGAAGATTGCATCGTATTTCACTTACGATGATTTAAGCCATCTCAGATTGGTAATTATCACGTGTCTACTTTATATTATCGAAATAGATTAATATGTTTATAACATTCACACAAAGAAGTTTCTAGAAAAGTTTATTTAATTAAATCATCAAATCTTCTATAAATAAAGTCTTATAAAGTAATTAAGTAATGTTTTTCTTTTCAATAAATTTTTATTATTTATATTTTTTGTTACATAAAATGTTCTAGGTCAATTCAAGAATTAGACATTTAAAGCATTAATCTGCTTCTCTGGTAGAAATATCTTCATTTTTTTTTTTGTAATTTGGACTATAAGAATGTTGTTTGGATGGCTGACGTGGTTTTGCACCTTAAGAGATGGTCTCAAAATGCTTTTTAAATTAACTGAAGAAGTCGTCATTTAAAATCCTGGAGTGCGAGCGCCGGCTGTGTTCGGCAGACTCGATGGTTCTGGAGTCGTTGAGTATTTTTCTGCCGAACGCCCTCTACGGTAGTGCCGTTTAGGAATGTGTTTGGTATTTTAATGTCGCATTTAGTAGCGTCTTTTGTTTAGGCTACCTATTGCTATCCGAAATTGACCGACGATGGTGTCAATTTGTTCTGACGCTTATGTCGTTTGTCGTTCGGTAGATGTAACTATGTAACGGCTACTGATTGAAATGCCATGCTCGGTTACGACTGTTGACACTGCCAAACGTGGCCGATGGGTCTGTTGGATATTCTTGATACTTTTGTTAATTATCATGGTTTTTTAGCTATTATTTTCAAGGAATTTTATTTTACTTTTACTTTGGAATGTTTTAAAGAAATTGGTATGAAATGTAACACAACGTATGCATTCTTGATTGTCAAAACTTGCATTCAAAGTGACTTTTTTACTAGAATTATATGATGCAAAATCAAAAGCCATGTCAGCAATATTATAGAATTTCTTTTTGTGCATCTCTGCATTGTGCAAAATGATATTCCTGACCATTTCTATATTGTTCCGATTACTCAAATTGAATTTAGCCTCGGATGAACCATTATATATGTGCCAACACGTGTGCACAAACAAATTTTAACTGCACCTGAAGCAAAGGTGTAAAAATATATTTTAACGAGAACAAAAATGCTTGGAAGATGACAATGATAGAATAATGGAAATTTTGACTTGACAGGGAATATATATAGTTTTAAAAAGTTCAAAATTAAAAGTGCATGGATCTCTCAAATATGTTTTGTGTGCTTTTTGATTAACATTACAAAAATGTTTTTAAAAATCTTCAAGCTTCGACCTCAATGTAATTTTCATTTTGAGACTGTTCTAATGAAACCAGTTTTACAGAATGATTTTAAATGTATTGATATAAAAAGTATGTTCTGTTTGAAGTAAGTTCAAGTGTAACTTCATTTTTATTTAATTAAATCTTGAAAGAAACTTAAAGCTTCAAAAACATTTGTGTAATGTTAAGATTATTTTAAATAAATTAAAAAGTTTTTAGTTGCTTTTGAGACATTGTGATTACTGGAAATTAAAAATATGGTGAAGTTCAGCTATGGTTTAATAGAAGTATGTCAGATTTTGTATCAGTTAATTTAAAATATGACATTAAAATCAATTTAACATTGAAATATATCTCCATAAAAGAATTATGAGCAAGAGAGAATAAAAAATATTTTGTTTTTGTGATCATTTTTTTGAAAGCAAGTTTTTGTGATATTGCTTTTCAAATATGACTTTTTCAAAATTGTGAATTTTTTAAATTTTTATTTGATAGTAAGTGAAAATAGGAGATAAGATATAAGACAACAAAAAGTATTATACAAAAATGTGATATTCAAACTTTTCTGGTATGTTGAATTATGTGTCACAATTTTCAGTTATATTACAAAGTATATTGGCTGCTAAAGTGAATGATAAACTTTTTATTGATATATTAACTTCAACTTTTCCATATGTATGTTATTCCAACTTAAATTACAAAACGCTTATTTAGAATAAAACAAAATAAATGTAAAAAATCTGTAGATGCTTAGTAGCTCAAGTTTTTTTTTTTTTTTTTTATTGCTTTCATTATTTATTGTAGGCCTATGTGTTATACCTAGTGTTATCATTGGTATCTAGTGTAATAGATTCTGATTAGTAATTACAAACTTTACATAATTACAAACAAAACAATTCATCATAACAAGCCAGGCATCACATTGGTTGACAAACAAAAGATAATCATAGACACATATAAATAAAAACAAAACCTTTAAACATTCCAGCAAATCATTTTTTAATGTCTTAAAAGTGTTTTTGAATGCTTTAAGCGATCCTTAGTTATCATTCTGAATCGAACGAAGAATTCAAAAGTATGTAAAATAAAATTCAAAAAGCGGTTACACAAATTTACATTAACACATAACATGCTTAAATAATTGCAAAGATTATACAAATTAATTAAAACGAAATAAAGAAATAAAATAAAATATATACATCCAGTAGAAATTATCACAATTAACTTTGCCAATTATATAAATTACGTCAACTCATCGTAGAAAGACTTCCGCGCCGATGACAATCTGTTGGCATCCCTATGATTGATGCAGTTTGTGTTCAACTGTGCCTTGTGAATTTCTAATTTTTCTAGATGTTTCACGACTTGCTTGGATCTTGTAGCCTTGATGCCTGATCCCAGAAGATTGTGATATTCTTCTGTTTGGCAAAAGCAGCAAGCACTGTAGTGTCTATGTTTTTCTTCATCGAGTGCTTATGTTCATCAATTCTTTTCTTTAAGTTTCTTTCAATTTGAGGATAAAACTTACTTGCAGGCACGGGGCTTACTGATGGGTACATGTCAGCTATACTTTGCGAAATAGTGTTGCGTAAATTTGAAAGCCATATACTCCCCTTGTTTCAGGAAGACATATTGTGTTATGCAAGATATGTTGGTGATATCTTTATTTTGTGGAAAGATAATTGCAGGGTTAACCAGTTCATAAATGTGATCAACGACAACCCATATAGATTAACTCAGGAGCTGGAGCAGGAAAATTCCATTTTCCTGCTCCAGCTCCTGTTAATTTTTTGGATTTATCTATAACTTGCAAGGAAGGAGAAATCATAACAGATGGAAACCCAGTTATCTTCCTATTATCATTCCTAGGAACTCAGCAGACTTCGAGCATTTAAAAATTACGGTTTTTCGTTCATGGATAAGGAAGGCACACATGCATTGCACTAGCATCTATGGCACTTACAATGAGTTTGAATATATCCGAAACATAGTGATACAGTAAGGATACCATAGAGAAAGAATAAATGCTCTTACTACGAATTGTCAGAAACAACACTCCATGAGGGGAGGAAATCAACATAGGGAAAGAGTTGTGCTCAGTATCGTTCCTCAAAGGAATGGTTAAAAAAGTTACCAGAAATAAGAATACATAGATAGTTTACAGGCATAATCCCACTGTATACAGACTCTTAAGGAATGATAAAGGCAGTTACAAACGCAACATGATGACAGGGATATACTCTATACTATTAAAAGACCGAAGATTTAACTCTAATTTGGTATACATAGGGGCACTCATGAGAAACTTAAAGAAAAGAATCGATGAACATAAGCACTCGGTGAAGAAAAACATAGACACTACAGTGCTTGCTGCTTTTACCAAACAGAAGGATATCATGATCTTCTGGGATCAGGCATCAAGGCTACAAGACCCAAGCAAATCGTGAAACATCTAGAAAAATTAGAAATTCACAAGGCGCAGTTGAACACAAACTGCATCAATCATAGGGATGCTGACGGATTGTCATCGGCGTGTAAGTCCTTCTACGATGAGTTGACGTAATTTATATAATTGGCAAAGTTAATTGTGATAATTTCTACTGGATGTATATATTTTATTTTATTTCTTTATTTCATTTTAATTAATTTGTATAGTCTTTGCGATTATTTAAGCATGCTATGTGTTAATGTAAATTTGTGTAATTGCTTTTTGAATTTTATTTTACGTAATTTTGAATTCTTTGTTCAATTCAGAATGATAATTGAGGATGATCACTTAAAGCATTTGAAAATGCTTTTAAGATATTAAAAAAATGATTTGCTGGAATGTTTAAAGGTTTTGTTTTTATTTATATTGATTTTAGTTCCAGTAAAAAAGTATTTTATTTATTATAGACAAATACTTTACATTTGAAACACACACAATATACAAAAAATATACTACAAAAAATTAATGTGGGCAGTGTGAAATTATGTTCAGAACTTACCATAAAATAAAGCATACATGGAAAATGGATAAGGTATAGTACTTATTGTGCCTATATTCATCTTTATTTTTTTCACATACATATATTATACAAATGTGGAAATCTTATATCTTAACAATAATATGTATAGTACATTACAGAAAGCAACATTAAACATGAATCATGTAGCAAATTCTTAAATATAGATATGTACACCAATAACACATAAATAAAATCAACAGTTTTTTCAATAGCATTGCTTTGACCATGGTGTGGTATAGGACTAGTCACTATCATCTGAGTAGACTGATTCACCTGCAGAAATAATAATAGGTGAATTCAGCAATATTGATATATTGCTATAATAATATGTAAATAAATAATATGAGGTGGTATACAAAACACTGCTCATACAACCTTTAACTGGTGCAAAGCACAATCTATCAGTCAATACAAATGCTTTCAGACCCCTCCTGGGTCCTTCAGGCAAAGAATCATTAGGAATGATTTTTTAAAACTGTACTCCAGTCGTTTGGAACGATTTTTAGAATACGATAAATAGAACAGAATCACGTGTTTAATAGCTTTGAAAATAAAAGTATTTACGTAATGTCGTACGTCATACAAAATCTCTTTTTATCCACAAGTTGGTCTTAGAAGCTTGTTGTCAAGTAAAGCGATATCACATAAACCTTATCCATCCACTTTTTTTTATCCGTCTCCCTTTATGTAAATGATGCATTTACTCATTCGGCTGCAATAGGGCTTGCCATGCCAAAGAAAGAGTGATCTCATCCC